GACATGCTGGAGATCCCCTTGCCCCCCTGGCAGGAGCGTCCCGACGAGCCCCTGGAGACCAAGAGAGCCCGGCTGCTCTACGAGAGCCGGAAGAGGGGGATGCTGGAGAACTGCATCTTGCTGAGGTGAGGCGCGGGGAGCCCGTCCTCCCTCCCGGCTTCTCAGCCACCCTCCGCTGCTCGCCCACCTCCCTGCTGTCAGGGCGCCCAGTCCTTCCCCACTGCGCCCTGACAATTCATCCCCTGCAGACAGGGGCGGTCAGCCGTTGGTGAGTACTTTACAGGAGAGATAATATCAGCCCTGGAGGGAGAAAGGCCAGTCCGGATGAGCTGCTGTGTAGTTCAGCTCCCTAAAGATGTCACAGGTTTTTAATTAACAGGGAAGAGCCCCGAGCATTGCAGGAAAGAGTTTGGTGGGGTAGCGCACAGCCATAATCCAAAACCTAAGGAGATGTGGTGTTGCTTAGAGGATAGAAGGCAGATAGAAGGCTGAGCTGTTGAATAAATCACCGCGAGAGCTTTGCTCGCATAGGATGCCGTGATCAGTGCTGCTGCCGGGCAGGATGGAGCAGAGCCAGAGGCAGCCGGAGGCACGTGAGAGCTCTGGAGGAAGCTCCTAGCTGATGGCTGAGCCAAAATCCTGCGGGAAGGATGTGTGTAATTTCTGGGATGTATGGACGAGGCAAGGCCAGTTGGGTTTCGGGACTGAAGTAGCGGTTAACAGAGTGCAGGCTGGGGCTCAAGGCAGAAGGCAGGTCACTTTGGACCCAGCTCCTCCCTGTCTTTTGGCATCGTGTAGAGAGCTGGGCGCCAGCCGTGGTTGGGAGCAGCGTGCCAGCCCGGCTCTTCCTCCAGTCACCCACGCTCATCCTTGTACATCCTCTCTCCAGCCTCTTTGCGAAGGAGAACCTGAACCGCATGAGTGAACAGCAGCTGAACCTCTACGACCGGCTCATCAACGAGCCCAGTAACGACTGGGACATTTACTACTGGGCCACAGGTAACTGTGCAGCTGCCTGTTGCCCTGCCTGCCGGGGCACCGTCACCGCTCCGGGCCGTGGGAGCTGGGCTTGGTGGGGTGACCGTGGTACTGGGTGCTTTGGGACGGGACGGAGCCATTCTCTTGCTGCCCCTTTTCTGTTTTTACCGCAGAAGCGAAGCCCGCGCCGGCCGAGTTCGAGAACGACGTGATGGCCATGCTGAGGGAGTTTGCCAAGAACAAGAAGAGGGAGCAGAGGCTGCGGCAGCCGGACCTGGAGTACCTCTTTGAGCCACCCCGCTGACGGGGGTGGATCTGCCTTCTCCCTCCCCACCCCCTGGAGCAGAGGAGGGGCACGGGGCCCTGTGGAAACACCGATGCTGCTGCCCTCCCTGCGGCTCCCCTCCTCCTCCTCCTCCGGCAGCCGGTCCACTTG